GTGTGTGTGTGTGTGTGTGTGTGTGTGTGTGTGTGTGTGTGTGTGTGTTACCTGCAGAATTACTCCTTTTTCCAATAGACTCTGTTTCTTTGCCGTCATCACAAAATAGTGTGTGTCGTCTTTGTAGTACACAATATTCTCCAAGTTAATCCCTAAAACAGGCAGACACAGGTGAACATCACGCACACCTAGAGTCTCTGAATGCAGACTCCAGGTGTGTGTCAACTTTTAGGAACAAACCAGTTTCCTGCCGTAGTTCCTGGAAAAACCTTTGGTTAAAGATGAATGCCACTCCGCTGATCTCCTCCACTTTGGCCTCAGCTGTGGTGTTTCTGTTCTTGAAGTTTGCTGTGATGGCGATGGCAAGCTTCCCCCTGAACTCTTTACGCCTGAAACCTGTTCACACACACGGATATAGGACAACATGGTCAGGTACACAGTGTCCACATTTTAGAAAAGGGGTGTCGAACAGCACATAGTCCAGAGAAGTATCATACCAGTCTGAAATGTTATAATGATGCTGTTTCTATATAGCAGTCAGGGTTCAGATTTACAGGTGGATTAACCTCCATCAGACTGTGAGAAAAAGGCTTACACTGCAGTACTGATTCAAAAGTAGGTTACAACTTTCAGATGGACTGGAAGACACAAAAACCCTTAGAAGAACTGAAGTTGTTGTACCTGATGATTTTGATGTGCCTGACAGTGTTGTTGTACCTGACTATGTTGATGTACCTGATGATCTTGTTGTACTTGCCTATGATGCCCGATGATGTTGATTTACCTGATGATGCTGATGTACATGACTACTTTTTTTTATACCTGGTAGTGTTATTGTACCTGGCAGCGTGTTCCTGCGTCCATCTGCTCCGATTATTACATCAAACTCCAGCTGACTCACAGGGTGATTCTTTGGACTCACCTCCATTCTCCAGCCCAGCTCTGGACAGGTACATAGAAACACAGAAAGTTGAGGAATCTACATTTTAAGTGCTTTTAGGACTGAAAGATAATTTCATACGTACTGTCTGTTTTTCATTTCTTTCGCTCACATATTCTGCAGCTCAGTTTATGACCCTGATGATGGCTACTATTCACCTGCTTCTGTGTTTTCTAATGAACATCAACAAGGTTACACCAATGATTTCTTACAACACTTTCACTCTAGGTAAAATGTTGTCTGACTTCAGGCCTTATACCCCCATTGTCGTCAAAGGAGCTTGCAAAGAAAAGCGTCTGGACTTCTTTAAGTTACTTGAAGACGTTTCACCTCTCATCCGAGAAGCTTCTTCAGTTCTAAGGTCAAATGGTGGAGAGTCCCAGATATAAACCTAGTGGGAGTAACCCCCCAC